GCCGATAATTTTTTAGGTGAAACTTCTGGCTGGTTGAAAGCCAGGTTTCTTGCAGTGATATAATATCCGGGGAAAGTTGTGAAAAAAGGTATGATAGGTCTGTGGCTGCGGAAAATATAGATCTGCAATTCCACTGTAATATGGTTAGTGAACCTATTTTGACGACAGAACTGTCGCAGAAACTGCTTGGTCCAAAATGTCCTTTCGCAAAAAGTTTTTCTTAGACATGTTCTCAAAGAATTCTTTTTTGGATAGATACTTTTTAGATTTCGAATTATGCGAAGAGTTTTTTGATTGGGGAGATCGGGTTCGCTTCGGAGCCTTATGAGAGTCCATATCCATATCTGCACATGCTTCCGAATCATCCGTGAGATCACCGTCTTCCGTTGTTTTGGAAGTCCCTGCCTCAGGAGAAACCGCTCGCTGACGTGTTGTCGCACTTTCTATTTCCGTATGCTGTGATACCAATGATGTCTGAGGAGCCCAATCGTTCGTAGATGCTACACCTAGAATTTGAGATAGTTGATTGGAAACCAATTGTGCCAAGCTTTCAAAAAGGTTGTTTGCGAGGCGTTCCATTGCCTTTTCCATAGCCTTCTCTACGGCCTCTGCGATAGATGTTGCGAGAGATGCATCCATGACGGTGGTATTACGTGCTGCAACACTGGCATATCCTTTGGATCTCTCCTGCATTTCTGCAACGGCTTCTCTCCGAGAGCACCTCTTGCGTTCTACGATATCCAATAGGGCAAGCTCCCTTTCTTTTGCTGCACAGTCTGCGGAGTCTGCAGGGTGCGCTCCATTACATAAGAAGCAACTCTCTTTCTCAGAGCTGCACTCGCGGCTGTCATGATTTTCACCACACAGATGGACTCTAAGAACTGATCGGCACCCTCTGACGCTATGTCCATATCGCCAACATTTCAAACACTGCAGGGGTTTGGGGGAAAGTGGCTCTACCTTATAGATCAGTGGTCATGCCTTAATTTCGGAAGGTCGGACTGTTCCTAAAAAGGTCACTATCACCGATTCCGTTGGTGATTTTATGTTGTCAATTGTACGGGTGCACCTGTACACTGAAATTACACCCGCCACCGAAAACAAATCGAGCACATCTGCAGGTGTCAGGCTTGTGTCTACACCGCGGACTAATCCTTTCGAGCATGCGAGGTGTGCCGGAATAAATGGGCTTACCGGAAGCGCTGCGAATTCGGAACATTGCAGGAGCTCACGAATGCATTCCTGATCTGCGGAACAGCACAGGATGCCTCCGCGACCAAACTGGCGGACCTCAGTGATCTCCTGGGGATGCGAAGTGGCTTTTCGAAGCTCCACTTGAATCGCCTTTGGGTTCTTCATCGGAATACTGCCCCCATCAATAGGTACCAGCGCCACAGGGACACTTCTCGCTCCACTGCGTAACAAATAGTCTATCGGCCAATCTTTGGCGGGAGTGGACGCTAACCAAGGGGAGTGCCCTTGGCCGGGGGAAGAAAATGACATCAAAATGGAATGATTCGCTTCAGCTGAGAAAGACCAATACAGTTACCGGAAAATAAAGAACTCTCAAAGAACAATAAGGATTCTGCCGCCCGATCCTGAGCCCGGGCAGCTTCTTCACAGTCGAGCCTCGCAGTCGAAATGCGACTTGGCGTTCCAAGCGTTCCAAGCTCCTTCAAATCTGCTAGCTCGAGACACGCGCGTGCTTCCACGCTCAATCCACGACAGAATACACGTCTTCCACGGGAGTACTTCTTCTTCATTTTCATCTACTTTGCGTACATTATTATGTATTTTGTTGTTCCACAAAATCAGTAACCCTACATTTCGTCTCAATAAATAATTGTCTTAGTGGCGGAAACTAAATTATCGGCTGAAAACACAGTGCAGGGAAGCCTACACGTTCATTTGCGCCAAACTTGATTATTCATCATTTTAAAGAGCAAACAAGATCTGATACAGAAGCCTACGAGCAAAGAGAATGAATAAAATGGGCATTGATGATGATGCTCAGAAGAACGTATGCCTGATACAAGAAAGCGTATGCTGATAGAAGAGGCTATCGTTATCAAAACAAATGGCTCATCTTGTGTGAGCCTGTCATCATTATCTGTAAAAGAATCAAGATTGCGTATATCGAAAACATTCCCTAATACCACGAGTTTTATCACACAAAAAAGATGCTTTTGTCGTCTTCCCTTTGAATGTGGGGCTTCGCGCATGCGGAGAAGCTTGTTTTCTTGTCTACTTAGTGCCTTCGTTCTACAAAAAAACACCAGATCTTCACGGAAGGCGCCGAACAGTCATAACGGATGCTACAAGAGCGGCCTTTCACAGCCTTTTATGAACGCTCTATGGGTAACTGCAGCAATCACACTTACTTGATACCCACAGCGACATTATTATTAAAATATTTTGGGCAGTAGGCTCGCATTCACTATGCTATATTTCATCATACTTCTGGGAAGCGTAGCATCCGCTAAGCACTTGCAAGGAATTTTGTATCAATTATTCGTGCAGTCGCTGACGACGATGAAGATTTACTCCTGAAGTGTGTATTCGCCACAGTTAGTAGGTTAACAAGAACAAGTTTTTGATATTCTTTGGAGCATTGGACAACCCACTCGTTAGGCTATTCACATCGTGCGACGACTGCTTGTTGTTTCGCTGCTTTAAAACTCTTTATAAGTCGTAATAACACGATTGCCTTCCTAACATCAAGCATGCCTAAGGCAAATTTGCCAACAAGTCCCGTGCAGCAACGTGACTCAATAGTAGAATACTGTGCTGGACTCCAATGGACCCGAGCTCAAGCCCCACTGTGTCATTCGTATTCGCATATTTTTTTATTTTCTTGCGATGTGTTTATGGAAACCGGCGGAGGCGGCGGACAAGCAAGGCGATGCGCGTTACCCGAGTTTTGATCTCATAAGAGCTTTCACTGTTCAGTCCTTGTGTTGTTAGTATAGTTCTTTTCGGTGTCCTGATTGCTTTCCGCGCATCATCTCACCTTTAAAGACGTTCTTTATACAACTTATGACACATAGCCTATTGACCACGCCAGACAACCAAATTCATGGCCACTTGCTGATTCGAGCATTGCGGGCTGCATAGTTACCCAGGCCGTCGTGGGAGGTCGCCAAGTACCCACGCACGCGCTTGCGATCTTACTGAAAGTAAGTCGCACGTTCGAAGAAAAAAAAATGGATAAAGTGCTGTAGGTAAGGATGTGCTCGTGACATAACTTCTTTACCCCGTGACATCCCCTCGTTCTGGCGCTCTCGTTGGGACAAGAAAAGCACGACAACAATTACCACTTCGATAAAGCTCCGTGGCTCCACGCGTAGAGGTGGAAGCACATTTCTCTGTAGCACCCAGCCGGCCGCTCCACTTCCAGTGGCTGTTTTCTGCGGAAATATGAAAAGACCGACGTATTAATGATATCAGACATGGTAATTCTGCGTGATAGACGCTCATGGTATAATTTAGGCATGAACCAAAGGTTGTAACAAACATAAGGTAGAAGCCGCGGCCAAGAACTGTGCCGACAGCCAAACGCTTTATTCTTCTGCCGCGGTGGTCTAGGGGCTAAGGCACTCGGCGACATTTCCGATGGAGGCTGAAATGCTGCAGGCCCGTGTGCTTAAATTTTGATGCACGATAAAGAACCCTTGGGTCTAAACTTGGAGCCTTCACCTATGGTGGCTTACATCATCATATGGTGGTTTTGGGACGTTAAAATTCACATATCAATCAATAAACAAGTGTGATTGTATCTGTACATACTTGACGATTGTAGTAGTAACGCGGTAGAGTTGAAGAGCTAGTTTCGCAGAAAGTCTGTGCCGGCGTCACTATCGGCTTTGGTGTAATGCGAAACCAGAAATTTCCAAAAGCGAGAGAGCCAGTATGGGCACTGTCACCAACCTTTATAAAGAACTACGAGAAAATTTCAAAACGGCAAAGGACAGCAAAAGAAAATAAAAAAGTAAGACTGCGCGTCTGCATATGTTGCATGGCTAATTCACGAAGATCTCCATTCTACAGAGATCGGTAGCAAAGGGCCTTCAAATTCTATGATTTAGTGTACTTACTACTGTTCGGACAGAAAGATATATTTCTCAAAGGTTTCAACACTCTCCGAGGTGAGTGTTTGACAAGAGATCGAAGCATCTACAAATATGAATAATATTCCTACCATTTCACCGCTACGATGTAACACTGCATTTTCACTTGTTCAACTAATAGAACTAATCATGAGGTGGGAAATTAAATCTTAAAAGCCCATTGTAGCTTCCTGGCTTTTGTTTATTGAGACATATTTCAATTCATGAGCGGGCAACGCTGAATCGCGTGAAGTTAATTTTCTTGCGATTCCCTGTCACCTGTAACATCGCATTGTTTCTTAGGTAAGAACTTTCCGTCCTCATCCTTTTGTTTTGTCCTTGCATGAAGTCAATAAAATTACGCACTAGCCGCGTTGCTGCCCCCTAGTAATACAGGCGAAGTCCACATTGAATGAACATACAAAAATGCATGAACACAACGTTTTTGGGAACGCATTTATTTAAATATAGCCATAAAATGTAACGACTGCGAGATATTAACATTTTTCGATAATTGCACACATTGAAGACACGACGACACTGCGGCGCGAGAAGCTTGTGCGACCTCAAACTGGCTCCTGTCAGGGAAGGGACAAAGGAATACTGCGATTTGTCTTTAGTGTTTTCTTCGGCGTGTTCAGGTGCAAGATGACCACCGCTATTGTATAGAAAACCTCGTCACCCTCATTTGTTATGGCAGAGCATTCTAGTTGCAGCCTTCAGTATTCTCACCTTCGCCCACCCGCTGCACCTGCCACTGGAAGCGGTGGGTACCTGCGAAGCCTTGGTGTGCTCCGAAAATGTGGGGGGTTGTTCTAAAGGGCATTTTAGATAACCGACAGCAATAGGTGTGGTGGCGCCGAGGTGGTGAGGCTGCAGCTTATGCGACGCTATTTAGTTCTCCCGGGTTTCGGGAGAGGCTATGCTGAAGCATATGCTGACGACGGCTCTGGTTGGGTACGACAGTGGCCGCAACCGGTCGTAGTCCTCGCGCTGCTTCCTTGCCTTTCCGTCTCCGACGGCTACTTCATCCACAAGAAAGGGCGCCCCTCGGCAGAAACAGCACAGCTTCCTCCTCTCCGAGCCCATGTTGTTCTTCCGGGAGTCGGGAGAGTCGATGCTGAAGCACACGAGGGCTACGCTTGCTGCTGGGTACGACAGTGGCCGCAACCGGTCGTAGTCCTCGCGCTGTTTCCTTGTTTTGCCGACTCCGACAGCTGCTTCGTCCACATGAAACGTCGTGCCTCGGCAGAAACAGTGCAGCTTCAGTCTCCCCGAGTCCATGTAGTTCACGTGGGAGTCGGGAGAGTCGATACTGAATGACACGAAGGCTACGCTTGTTGCTGGGGACGACATAGGCCGCAACCGGTCGTACTTCACGCGTAGCATCCTTGTCTCGCTGGTTCCGGAAGGCGATATGTTTGACGACGAAAATAGGCACAGAGACCTCTGAAGACGTGGCTTTCGCGGGGCCGATCAGAATACACGTCTTCCACGGGCGTTCGTCTTCTTCTTCTTCTACTTTGTGTACATTCCTGTGTATTTTGTTGTTTCACAAAATCAATAACTCTACATTTCGTCTCAATAAATAATTGTCTTAGTGGCGGAAAGTAAATTATCGGATGAAAACACACTGCAGGGAAGCCTACACGTTTATTTGCGCCAAACTTGATTATTCATCATTTTAAAGAGCAAACAAAGATCTGATAAAGAAGCCTACGAGCAAAGAGAATGAAAAAAATGGGCATTGATGATGATGCTCAGAAGAACGTATGCCTGATAGAAGAAAGCGTATGCTGATAGAAGAGGCTTTCGTTATCAAAACAAAAGGCTCATCTTGTGTGAGCCTGTCATCGTTATCTGTTAAAAGAATCAAGATTGCGTATATCGAAGGCATTGCCTAATACCACGAGTTTTATCACACAAAAAAGATGCTTTTGTCGTCTTCCCTTTGAATGTGGGGCTTCGCGCATGCGGAGAAGCTTGTGTTCTTGTCTATTTAGTGCCTTAGTTCTACAAACAAAACACCAGGTCTTGCCGGAAGGCGCCGAACAGTCATAAAGGATGCTACAAGAGCGGCCTTCCACAGCCTTTTTTGAACACTCTATGGGTAACTGCCGCAATCACACTCACTTGATACCCACAGCGACATTATTATTAAAATATTTTGGGCAGTAGACTCGCATTCACTATGATATATTTTGTCATACTTCTGGGAATCGTAGGATCCGCTAAGCACTTGCTAGGAATTTCGTATCAATTATTCATGCAGTCGCTGACGACGATGAAGAATTACTCCTGAAGTGGGTATTCGCCACAGTTAGTAGGTTAATAAGAACAAGTTTTTGATATTAGTTGGAACATTGGACAACCCACTCGTTAGGCTATTCACATTGTGCGACGACTGGTTGTTGTTTCGCTGCTTTAAAACGCTTTATAAGTCGTAAAAACACGATTGCCTTCCTGACATCAAGCATGCCTAAGGCAAATTTGCCAACAAGTCCCGTGCAGCAACGTGACTCAATAGTAGAATACTGTGCTGGACTCCAATGAACCCGAGCTCAAGCCCCACTGTGTCATTCGTATTAGCCTATTTTTTTTTTAATTTCTTGCGATGTATTTATGGAAATCGGCGGAGGCGGCGGACAAGTAAGGCGATGCGCGTTACACGAGTTTTGATCTCATAAGAGCTTTCACTGCTCAGTCCTTGTGTTGTTAGTATAGTTCTTTTCGGTGTCCTGATTGCTTTCCGCGCTGCATCTCAGCTTTAAAGACGTTCTTTATACAACTGATGACACATAGGCTATTGACCACGCCAGACAACCAACTTCATGGCCACTTGCTGATTCGAGCATTGCGGGCTGCATAGTTACCCAGGCCGTCGTGGGAGGTCGCCAAGTACCAACGCACGCACTTGCGATCTTACTGAAAGTAAGTCGCGCATTCGAAGAAAAAAGAGATAAAGTGCTGTAGGTAAGGATGTGCTCGTGACATAACTTCTTTACCCCGTGTCATCCCCTCGTTCTGGCGCTCTCAATGGGACAAAAGAAGCACGACAACAATTACCACTTCGATAATGCTCCGTAGCTCCACGCGTAGAGGTGGAAGCACATTTCTCTGTAGCACCCAGCCGGCCGCTCCACTTCCAGTGGCTGTTTTCAGCGGAAGTATGAAAAGAGCGACGTATTAATGATATCGGACATGGTAATACTGCGTGATAGACGCTCATGGTATAATTTAAGCATGAACCAAAGGTTGTAACAAACATAAGGTAGAAGCCGCGGCCAAGAACTGTGCCGACAGCCAAGCGCTTTATACTTCCGCCGCGGTGGTCTAGGGGCTAAGGTACTCGGCGACATTTCCGATGGAGGCTGAAGTGCTGCAGGCCCGTGTGCTTAAATTTTTATGCACGATAAAGAACCCTTGGGTCTAAACTTGGAGCCCACACCTACGGCGGCTTACATCATCATATGGTGGTTTTGGGACGTTAAAATTCACATATCATTCAATAAACATGTGTAATAGTATCTGTACGTACTTGACCATTGTAGTAATAACGCGGTAGAGTTTAAGAGCTAGTTTCGCAGAAAGTCTGTGTCGGCGTCACTATCGGCTTTGGAGTATTGCGAAACCAGAAATTTTCAAAAGCGAGAGAGCCAGTATGGGCACTGTCACCAACCTTTATAAAGAACTACGAGAAAATTTCAAAACGGCAAAGGACAGCAAAAGAAAATAAAAACGTAAGACTGCGCGTCTGCATAGGATGCATGGCTAATTCACGCAGATCTCCATTCTACAGAGATGGGTAGCAAAGACCCTTCAAATTCCATGATTTAGTGTACTTACTACTGTTGGGGCAGAAAAATATATTTCTCAAAGGTTTCAACACTCTCCGAGGTGAGTGTTTGACAAGAGATCGAAGCATCTACAAATATGAATAACATTACTACCATTTGACCACTACAATGTAACACTGTATTTTTACTCGTTCAACTAACTGAACTTATGAGGTAGGAAATTAAATCTTAAAAGCCCATTGTAGCTTCCTGGCTGTCTTTATTGAGACATATTCATAAGCGGGCAACGCTGAATCGCGCGAAGTTTATTTTCTTGCGATTCCCTGTCATCTGTAACATCGCATTGTTTGTTAGGTAAAAACTTTCCATCCTCATCCTTTTTTCTGTCCTTGCATGAAGTCAATAAATTTACGCACTAGCCGCGTTGCTGGCCCCTAGTAATACAGGCGAAGTCCACAATGAATGAACATACAAATAATGCATGAACACAACGTGTTTCGGAACGCATTTATTTAAATATAGCCGTAAAATGTAACGACTGCGAGATATTAACATATTTTCGATAATTGCACACATTGAAGACACGACGACACTGCGGCGCGAGACTCTTGTGCGACCTCAAACTGGCTCCTGTCAGGGAAGGGACGAAGGAATACTGCGATTTGTCTTTAGTGTTTTCTTCGGCGTGTTCAGGTGCAAGATGACCACCGCTACCGTATAGAAAACCTCGTCACCCTCATTTGTTATGGCAGAGCATTCTAGTTGCAGCCTTGAGTATTCTCACCTTCGCAACCCCGCTGCACCTGCCTCCGGAAGCGGTGAGTACCTGCGAAGCCTTGGTGTGCTCCGAAAATAGGGAGGGGGGTGGTTTGATCTAAAGGGCATTTTAGATATCCGACAGCAATAGGTGTGGTGGCGCCGAAGTGTGGAGTCTGCAGCTTATGTGACGCTATTTAGTTCTCCCGAGTTTCGGGAGAGGCGATGCTGAAGGGTATGCTGACGACGGCTCTGGTTGGGTACGACAGTGGCCGCAACCGGTCGTAGTCCTCGCGCTGCTTCTTTGCCTTTCCGTATCCGACGGCTACTTCCTCCACAAGAAAGGGCGTCTTCGGCAGAAACAGCACACCTTCGTCGTCTACGAGCCCATGTAGTTCTCCCAGGAGTTGTGAGAGTCGATGCTGAAGCACACGAAGGCTACGCTTGCTGCTAGGTACGACAGTGGCCGCAACCGGTCGTAGTCCTCGCGCTGCTTCCTTGTCTTGCCGACTCCGACAGCTGCTTCGTCCACATGAAACGTCGTGCCTCGGCAAAAACAGTGCAGCTCCAGTCTCTCCGAGTCCCTGTAGTTTACGTGGGAGTCGGGAGAGTCGATACTGAGTGACACGAAGGCTACGCTTGTTGCTGGGGACGACAGGGGCCACAACCGGTCGTACTCCACGCGTAGGATCCTTGTTTCGCTGGTTTCGGAAGGCGATATGTTTGACGAAGAAAATAGGCACAGGGACCTCTGAAGACGTGGCTTTAGCGGGGCCGATCAGAATACACGTCTTCCACGGGCGTTCGTCTTCTTTTTCTTTTACTTTGTGTACATTCCTGTGTATTTTGTTGTTTCACAAAATCAGTAATTCTACATTTCGTCTCAATAAATAATTGTCTTAGTGGCGGAAACTAAATTATCGGATGAAAACACAGTGCAGGGAAGCCTACACGTCCATTTGCGCCAAACTTGATTATTCATCATTTTAAAGAGCAAACAAAGATCTGATAAAGAAGCCTACGAGCAAAGAGAATGAAAAAATGGCGCATTGATGATGATGCTCAGAAGAACGCATGCCTGATAGAAGAAAGCGTATGCTGATAGAAGAGGCTTTTGTTATCAAAACAAAAGGCTCATCTTGTGTGAGCCTGTCATCGTTATCTCTTAAAAGAATCAAGATTGCGTATATCGAAGGCATTGCCTGATACCACGAGTTTTGTCACACAAAAAAGATGCTTTTGTCGTCTTCCCTTTGAATGTGGGGCTTCGCGCATGCGGAGAAGCTTGTGTTCTTGTCTATTTAGTGCCTTCGTTCTACAAAGAAAACACCAGGTCTTGCCGGAAGGCGCCGAACAGTCATTACGGATGCTACAAGAGCGGCCTTCCACAGCCTTTTTTGAACACTCTATGGGTAACTGCAGCAATCACACTTACTTTATACCCACAGCGACATTATTATTAAAATATTTTGGGCAGTAGACTCGCATTCACTATGCTATATTTCGTCATACTTCTGGGAAGCGTAGCATCCGCTAAGCACTTGCAAGAAATTTTGTATCAATTATTCGTGCAGTCGCTGACGACGATGAAGAATTACTCCTGAAGTGGGTATTTGCCACAGTTAGTAGGTTAACAAGAACAAGTTTTTGATATTATTTGGAGCATTGGACAACCCACTCGTTAGGCTATTCACATCGTGCGACGACTGCTTGTTGTTTCGCTGCTTTAAAACGCTTTATAAGTCTCAATAACACGATTGCCTTCCTGACATCAAGCATGCCTAAGGCAAATTTGCCAACAAGTCCCGTGCAGCAACGTTACTCAATAGTAGAATA